CGGCATCACTTTTTGTGGCCCGCGGAGCAGACCTCTGAATTTATAAATTACTCTCAAATACGAAATATGCACAATTCTCACATTAACCATAAAATACAAATAAAACATATGAGGCTACTGGCGAAGGATGGAAGGTCGCAGCGAAACGAAGCAGCTGAGTAAGTGACTTATCAAAAAAGAGAACATCTATATTTTGACTTTATAAATTTCATGTTGAAGAAGCTACTTTCGCAAAGATACGTGCTTTCCAGCACTGAGCCCAGTGAAAGCCCTAAGTTTCGCAGATTGGGGTATCGTTCTTCTGGCAGCAACTTGAAAAAATCAAATCCATTTCCAGTTCTTCCTTGGTAAAAAGGATCTGATTGCAAATCAAACAATTCCAGTTGAAGGTCTGCTCTGCTCACATTCTCAACTGAAATTTTAAGGGGCTGAGGGAGAACTGAAATCTCTCTTTCGATTTTTTTGAAGTTGCTAAATCGATTTTCGAATTCTTCTCAATGTATGTTATCTGAGGTAAATTTGAAACTTCCTCAAAATCCTTTATTTCTTCAAAATGCTCTTTACAACTTGGGAAAAATGAAAAACCATTTTTTTCTAATGAAGACTTAAAAAGCCTAGTTTTTTTAAGAACTGGAACTGGACTGGAAATTTTCAAGTTGCTGCCAGAAGAACGATACCCCCACCTGCGAAACTTCGGGCTTACACTGTGCTCAGTGCTGGGAAGCACGTATCTTTGCCAAAGCAGCTTTTCCAACATGAAATTTATAAAGTCAAATATAGATGTTCCCTTTCAGATAAGTCACTAACTCAGCTGCTCCGTTTTTCAACAACAAATGTTAAAGTTAATAATGGTGCATTAGTAAGTGAGAACCAACATCCTCAAATTTCCCACTAATTTTTTTGTAATTTGAATATTTTTGAGTAAATGAGAATATTGCAAACGCGTCTTTTCTTTGTATACCATACCTATTAAAACTCACGGATGAAGTTGCTGCCGAAGTATTTTATAATGCGGCCCCCCAAACCGTATTTTTGTTTAAAGCGGCTCTTGGAGAACTTGAAGTTGGACAGCCCTGTTTTAGATGATACTATGCTACTAATGCGAGTATACTCTTTGCGACAGTTTTTATGTACTGCTACGTTACCGAATCTGTATCCCTTAAAGTTCTGCATGTTCATCTTCTCTTTCCGCACTTGCGTCTCTCTAAGCATCTATACCGCGTTTTACAGTCACTGTAACACCTTTCAAGAGCGATTGATTGCAAATAAAACAAGACTCATCCATCGTGATTGCTAATTAAATCACAAAACGAAACGTCTAGACTGCTTGCCAACTAGATTTGAACTGACTTACATCGATTAAATGCGATTAACCCGGCGGTCATAGTTGACAGATAACCAATGAAGCAAATGTCATTTGTCAACCAATCGGTATTAAATGACGTTAAATTCATTGTTCAACTGTCAATATAACCGACTGGTTAATCGTATTTAATAGACTATTTTTATTTGTATGCGCGCGCAACACGTGGCAATGCTTTTTTATTGGCTATAACTAGTACAGGTGGTGTGAGGTGTTCATTTTGCACGCTGGGCATATCCTTATCCTTGTTCATTGTCCGTGGTCGGACACGGATAAAAGTACGGTTGATATTCAACTTGACATAGCTCGATAAATGATCTACAAGGCCGCATAATAGCTAAGGTTCGTTTCACCAGGGTTCATACTTGACCTTGAAACTTGAAAAAAAAGGGTTGTCGTAGATTAATTTATATGACACATTCAATTTTTTTGACAAATTAAAATGAATGACTTCTGGTTTAAGAACCGACGAACGTTTTTGACGTCATTGATTTGTTTCAGTAAATTTTTATTTGTTAAACAAGGAAGGCAAATGCTGGTGGCAAGTACAAACCCTGGCGAAACAGACTTTAGGAAAGTTGTTTGAGTTTTTGATTGACAAAAATGTTGCACAACACGCAGTCTTTCTACTTCCCTTTTTATCCCGTGCAAATAAGAAGGACGGATTGCTATACTATATACAGGGTGTTAATAAATAGTGGGATCAAACTTCTAGGATAAATAGTAGCTATTAAAATAAGAAAAAAGTTGATAGAAACATAGGTGCGCAAATGCTTAGTTTTCGAGATACAGGGTGTCAAAGTTTAAAAAAATCGTTTTTTTTTTTTTAAATCCGTTTTCCGAATTACTTTAAACTTGGCAGATTTGTTTGTAATAATAACAAATGGTATCTCTTGATTCAATTAGATTCACCGTGATTATTCCAGTGGCGCCCCAGAGGACAACTACATTGGTGAAAGTAGAAAAAAATGGCATGTCACTATTTTTTATAACTTTCATATTTTCGCAGATTGTCATATTACTGTTAAAACTCAAAAGATACCTTTTGTTATCACAAACAAACCTGCCAAATTTGAAAAAGAAAATTGGAAAAAGGATTTTTGAGCCAAAAAAACGCTTTTATTTCGAACTTTGACACCCTGTATCTTGAAAACTAAGCATTCGCGGACCCATGTTTTTATTTACTATTTATCCTAGAAGTTTGATCACACTATTTATTAACACCCTGTATATAAAAAAAGTATTTTTATCTCTTTCTTGTACAAGCTGGTAGAAAAAGACACGAATACACTCAGTGCGCACTAACCGTTCCAATGGAATTCGGTATGACATAATTTGGTACGTTTTGCTTCGTCTTGCGCACTGAGCGTTCTGCGTTTTTTTTTATATAATGGAGTTTTCGTCTTATTACCTCTTTGTCTGGTAAAATAGATAGGTCTACTGACTTTTAACGGTAAGTAAAGCCAAACATGCGGGAAGCAGAGAACTACACGAAAAACTCCGAGCACAGTCGAACGACGATCGGCGTCGATGCGCGATGGTACAAACGAATCATTGGATCACAGCGGCGGCTGCATGGTGAGGTACTGCCATGGTACCGTGAAGCCATGGCACTACCTTAATTTTCTGTAAAGTTGTGTGAGCTGATATAAACATGTTTCAAAGAAGCAAATGAAGGTTATAAAAAAATTCGGAGAAATGAAAAAGTGCTTGGCTTCTCGGCACGGTACCACACAGTACACTACCTCTCCACCATTTGCTCATTGATTGTACAGAAAAGACTTATATAACCCTTTTTTTGTAGAGAATTTTCCGCTTTTAATTTCTTGTAATTACGCTAAAAGTTATACGCCTGACGAAAACCAAGATAATTGAGAAAATAAGATTTTCATGACCTTTGACCTTGAATAGGTATCTGAAAACGCAAGAGCCATATCGATGGGGACTTTTAAGACGATACTTATTAAGGTAAAATAAAGCTGTAGGCAAAATTTAGGCTCACTCGGATTTTCTCAGCAGATGCTGCTTTTTCCGGCCTAATATAACTGGAGTACGTGGCCACCTTGCTAGATTTTCACCTTTCTAAGTTTTCATTCTCACTTTATTTATTTTTTTATTACATAACACGTTGTTTTTCTTGACCACGTAGTTTCACCCGAAGGAATTTATATTGACGAGAGAAAAATCCAAGCAATTTTTGAATAGCCAAGACCTCGGGACAAACATGAATTCAGAAGTTTTCTTGGGCCTTGTATATACTACAGGCGATTTCTAGGATTTGCAAACCTTACCGAACAAAAAGCTATTTTTGAGTGGTCTTCCGACTGTGACGTAGCATTTAGAAGACTGAAGACTTGTTTGTTGTTTCAGTTCTATATCAGGCAACCCACGGTCAGTCCTACATAACACAACAGGAATTACACCAGCCAATTTTTTTTTAGAAGGGAACTTCTTTTACCCTGTGACTTGGTGTTCGGGTCACCAGATGTAGCTGATATGAAAGCGTAAGACTATGGTTGACGATCTGCGGAAAAGGTGGTTGACGATCTGCGGAAAAGGTGGTTGACATCCACTCAAAGGAAGAAAGGCAGATTTCGCAAGCTGACACCAGTATGTGAAGGCCCGTACATGATTATAAAGAGAATTAACGACGTGGTATATCGAATTCAAGGCGGCCCCAAAGTTTAGATGAAGGTGGTACATCTTAACAAGTTGAAGGCTTATCACGAAAATAAATGGTTAGATCAGGCCGATATGAACTAGGAAGGAGGCAGTGTGACGAATATGCATCGACGGTCCGGCCGGGATTCCAAGAAATTACATACTTGTTTACGTCCAGCAGCGCACCGTTTCTGGGAATTCTATTTTATTCGATTCCATGTTTTTCTTACTAGATCCCGAGTCCGAGTTCGACTATAAATAGTACGTACCTAGTAATTAGTTTAGTTTTAATTTATTTGTCGTGTATCTACGTTTCAATAAGTGATAAGTGAATTTTATTCAGTCAATTGTTTAAGAAAAGTTGTTACTGTAAGTGTAGTGAGTTTTAGTCAACCAAGATTCAGTGACCGTCTTTTACCAGTTGACTAAGGATATACCGTCTGTATTTTAGGTTAATATTCAATTTATCTAGAACTCGCATAACTTTGAAAGTATGTCAGACTTTGTGTTAGAAATTGTTTCTTGGCAGCCCGCAATTTAGCTACCAAACATAGGTAATTAAAATTTCAATTTCCGCAGTACCTACGAATAATAATTGTAGAATTTTTCAACTTAAGGTTTACAAAATTTGGTCCTCATAACTCCACTGGCTCATAAAAAAAGGTAAATTTTCAAGTATTAAAACTACAACCAAGCGTTTTGTATTAAATATTTTATTTCTATTATAACTAATATAACTTTGGATATCTTTTAATAATAAAAAAATACACTGACACGTAGATCTTATCAGCCTAATTTATGTACAAAATATCTTGGAAAATACAAAATACTCATATAGGGACAGGGAAGTTAATTTTCTAAATAGCTTCCGGTTTAAGCCAAGACTAAATTAAGAGCAGTCGCCTTGATAAAGCATTCCTAAAGATTATTAGAATCTCTATACTCAGGCTTCCTATACCCATTATTATCCACATACCTTCCAGAATTCGTCATAGGAATCTCTACATTCACATTACTTACATTAGTAATCAAAGAATTCCTTGTATTACTCGACTTACTTATACTCCTAACCACCCCATGAGGTCTTTTAAATTGAGCGGTATAAGGTAATGGCTTGCCCCTGATAGCCCCTCTACTTGAATACGCATGCTCTTTGCACATACCCATTCTACCCATGAGAATAAAAAAATCTTTTCTGTATTGTTGAGTTAAGATGGCGTATAGACAAGGATTTGCGCAAGAGTTTAGGGGATAAATAAAAACCAAAAGTATTTTGGTTTGGGTTACAGTAATAAGGGGGTAGCCTAAGAGGGCTGTTATTCCAAAAAATGCTATAGGAGAGAGGCAGGCAAAATCTGTGAAAACTAGAAGGGCCATTTTTTTTGCAACGGTTTGATCGTTGCGTACCGAATTGGCTATTCCTGCTTTTGCACCTGAAACAAAAAGAATAATCTTATGAATAAATGGATAATATTATATCAAGGCAGTAAATATAAAGGGTGTCAGCATTTATTAATTGAATTACTTTAGGAATGAGAATTTAGAATTGAATAATTTCTAAACTGTTCACAGAAACCCCGCTGTTATTTGGTTTCCAAATTGCTGAAGTTTTTAACACAGTATGGCTTCAAATGTATAATAAAGATAATAAATCATATTACTCACCCTACTGATTTATATTTATCATGCGGATTCGAATTTTAAATTATTGATGAATAATCCTTACCTGATCTAATTGTCTTATACATGCTCCCGTAACAAACACAAATAACAGTAAAAGCTGAACAGTTGATAGTCAGAAGTGTAGACAGATAAATAGCATCGAAATTGTTCTTGAATTCCAATGGTAAGCATATGCTTGTCCTGGAATAGCTGCTAATTCCTCTCAAAGGTAAAAAGGCCATAAACAATGCACTAAACCAACCGCCAAGCATTATTTTAACTGTAGTACGTAGTTTGAGGCGTTTGTTGAGATGAGCTGCCCAGGTTATTGTGCACCTGAAAACCAAGCTGAATTTGATTTGACAAACATTTAAATATTGGGAGTATTACCAGCGTTCTAAAGTTATGACAGCTAGGGTGTAGACTGAAAGGACGTTGCCAAAAGTTGTAAGGAATCCAGCTACGTTACAGCCATAGCCTAGAAATAAACACAGAATTATTAGTATTCGTATCAGGGAGACTAGTTCTGCTGCACTAGTGGGTTAATGGTGTTAAGCCCGATTTTAAAATTAATGTTTAGTTTTGCGGTCATACAACATGAAATATGAAAAAAATTCGTAGGGTGTAGGCCAATATGAACTTTGTTCCGAAAGTGAGAAAGAAAGTGTCGTTAGGTGGTCAAAGTCGCTGAATTTTGGCTTAATTACATTTAACCACTCAGCTGTTGAATTGTCGATTCAACGCCAGGTCTGGTGAAATTTCACCAGATCTAGTGATTTTATGAAAAATCTGGTGATTGGTGAAAAACTTTTTGAAAAATGGCAATTTCTGGTTATTTTGAAATTTCATCAATTTTGAATAGGTATTTTTAACAATACTTTTTAAATATCCTTCGTAATGTATTAAAATTTTACTTCATTAACATACAAATTTCATTTCTTTGACAAAAAACCAAATACCCATAAGTGGTGTGTGAGGTCCTTTGATTTTTATATAAATTTGTATTTGTTCTTTTCTTATATTTATGAGTCCCGGAAAAAAGGTCGAAAACATAAGGTCGAAATACAAAAAGTCGAAAACAAAAGGTCGAAAATACAAAAGATCGAATGAGAAAAGGTCGAATAACAAAAGGTCGAAAAAGCAAAAGGTCGAAATACATGAGGTCAAAAATACCAAAGATCGAATGAGAAAAGGTCGAATAACAAAAAGTCGAATAACAAAAGGTCGAATAACAGAAAGTCGAATAACAAAAGGTCGAATAACAAAAGGTCGAATATACAAAAGGTCGAAAATACAAAAGATCGAAAATACAAAATGTCGAAAATACAACATGGGATAAATTGGAATTTGGATATACAAGACTAGTAAAATGAGAAGGGCTGCTAAATAAAGTGAACTAACACAATCTAACCCAAACTAACCCAATCTAACCCAAACTAACTTATAAACTTACCTCCCCAACGCTATAATGCGCAAATCGAACTAACGCAAACTAACCCAAACTAACCCAATCTAACCCAAACTAATCTATAAACTTACCTCACCCAACGCGATATTTTGTATTTTCAACCTTTTGTTTTCGACTTTTTGTTATTCGACTTTTTGTTTTTCGACCTTTTGTATTTTCGACTATTTGCTATTCGAGCTTTTGTAATTCGACCTAGTGTATCTTCGATCTTCTGGTATTCGATCTTTTGTTATTCGACCTTTTTTATTTTCGATCTTTATTTATTCGACCTTATATATTTTCGACCTTTATTTATTCGACATTTTGTATTTTCAACCTTATGTATTTTCGACATTTTGCTTTTCGATCTTTTGTGATAATTCAATATTTTGTAATGCGACCTTTTTTCCGTACCCCCTTCTTTTCTTATATTTATATATGTTTCCCTTTTTATATTTCAATTTCTGTTTATTCCAGGCTTTTGTTGCTATTGGCCGGTTATTTTTCAAGTTGGCAACATGTATTCTGTTTGGCCAATGGCGTTGCTTATGGAGGGTTTCAGTCAACCCAATCGAAAACTCGACATTTTCTAATTGATTCTAATTGATTTAAATTAATCGAAAAAAATTCTAACATCACTTTCAAAATGGTGATTTCAAAAAGCTAAAACATCTCAATTTTCGTTCTGGAAATTTTCTCAAATCTTGACAAGGTTAGGAATAATGGCCAATATCTTCAAAGAAACTTGAACAAATCAAAACAAATTATATATGGTTAGGAAGAGCATTAAATTATCTATAAATTCATGCTAAATTGGTTCTGATAACTCGAATACTTGCTGGGCAATTGGATCTCAAAGTAAACTTTTAGTCCAAATTTTATCAAAAATTTCAAACTCGATTTTCTCGAAAACCATAAGAGCTAGCGATTTTAACTAAATACCATTTTAAAGCCCTATCAAGAATTACATCTTCTGAAAATTTTAATTCAAAATCTTTAATAGATTTTAAGATATTCAAGATCAAATATTTTGAAATAAAAATGTAAAGGGGTAACCCTTTGAAAAATTCGAAATTTTTATTGTTCATATTTATTGAATTTTGACTTTTCCAATTGATAGAGCGGGTCTAAATTAGTCGAAAAAAACTCCAACATCGTTAAAAAATCTTGATTTCAACAAAGAGAAAAATTAAAAAGAAAATCTCAATTTTTAAGTTTAAATTTTTTTTAAATCCTGACAAGGTTAGGAGCAATTGCCAATACTTCTATTACATTTTAAGCAAATCAAACTAACTTATATATGGTTGGAAAGAGCATCAAATTCTCTATAAATCAGTGCTAGATTGAGTTTCATAACTCAAATAGTTTTTGCATAATTGAGTCTCAAAGTTGTTTTACTCGAAATTTAGTCAAAAACTTCAAACTCGATTTTCTCAAAAACCGCAAATGCCAGCGACTTCAATGAAGTACCATTTCAAAGCCCTCATCAAGGGCTATAATCTGAATTGATCCAAAATCTTTGACTGGTTTCGAGAAAATTGAGTTTGAAAATTTTGAAAAATTAGCCCTTTGAAAAAATCGAAATTTTTATTTTTCAGATTTTTTGAATTTTGACTTTCCCAATCGATAGAGCGGATCTAAATTAGTCGAAAAAAACTCTAACTTCATTTTCAAATCTCGATTTCAAAACAGAAAAAAAATCAAAAAGAAAATCTTAATTTTCAGATCTAAATTTTTTTTAAATTCTGACAAGGTTAGGAGCAATTGCCAATACTTCCAATAAATTTTGAGCAAATCGGAATAAATTATATATGATGGGAAAAAGGATCAAATTCTCTATAAATCAGTGCTAGATTGAGTTTGATCACGTAAATACTTTTAGAGCAATTGAGCCAAGAAGTTGGATTTTAGTTAAAATTTAGTTACAAATTTCAAACTCGATTTTCTCAAAAACCGTAAATGCCAGCGACTTCAACTAAGTAGCATTTCAAAGCCCTTATCAAGGGCTACAATTTCGAAAATCTCAAAAAAAATTGATCCAAAATCTTTGACGGGTTTCGAAAAATTGAGTTTGAAAATTTTGAAATTAAAATACAAAGAGGTTTAGACCTTTGAAAAAATCGAAATTTTTATTTTTCAGCTTTTTTGAATTTTGACTTTCCCAATCGATAGAGCAGATCTGAATTACTCGAAAAAAACTCTAACTTCATTTCCAAATCTCGATTTCAAAAGAGAAAAAAAATCAAAAAGAAAATCTCAATTTTCAGGTTTAAATTTTTTTTAAATCCTAACAAAGTTAAGAGCAATTGTCAATATTTCCATTAAAATTTGAGCAAATCAAAACAAATTATACATTGTTGGAAAGAGCATTAAATTTTCTATAAATCAGTGCAAGATTGAGCTCTATAGCTCAAATACTTTCCGAGCAATTACACTTCAAAGTTGAATTTTAGTCGAAAAAGTATCAAAAACTTCAAACTAAATTTTTTCAGAAACTGCAAATGCCAATGACTTCAACCAAGTACCTTTTTAAAGCCCCCATCAAGGGCTATAATCCCAAAAAAAAATTGATCCAAAATCTTTGATAGGTTTCGAGAAAATTGAGTTTGAACATTTTGAAAAAAAAAAATTAAAGGGCGTAACTTTTGGAAAAAAATTAAAAAACTGAAAATTTTCATTTTTCAAATTTTTGCAATTTTGACTTTTCCAATCGATAGAGCGAGTTCAAATTAGTCGAAAAAAAACTCTAACATCATTACAAAATGTCAATTTCAATACAGAGAAAAATTAAAAAGAAAATCTCAATTTTTAGGTTTAAATTTTTTTTGAATCCCATCAAAGTTAGGAGCAATTGCCAATACCTTCATTAAAATTTGCGCAAATTAAAATAAATTATGTATGGTTGGAAAGAGCATTAAATTCTCTATCAATCAGTGCTAGATTGAGTTTCATAACTCAAATAGTTTTCGCACAATTGAGCCTCAAAGTGAAAAAAATTTTAAAACTCAAAATTTTCATTTTTCAGATTTTCGTAATTTTAACTTTTTCAATCGATAGAGCGGGTCTAAATTAGTAACATCATTTCAAAATGACAATTTTAAAGAAAGATTTTTTGGATCTAAATTTTAAAAAAATATCCTGACATGTTCATGAACAATTGCTCATATCTTCATTGAAATTTGAGCAAACTAAAATATATCGTATATCATTGAAAAGAACAATAAATTTTCTATAATTCTGTGTTAAATTGAATTTGGTAGCTCAAATACTTTTTGATCAATTGGGTCTGAAAGTTAAATTTTACTACAATGTCTACAATCACTGATCAATAAATCCCATTTATTCCCAAGAATTACAACTAGTTACTTATGATTGTTAAATATTTCACCAGGTGATTTCCATTTTTTTGGGGATTTCTATATCATTCTCAATTGATTACCTGATTTCCTCTACGCAATCATTTGATCCTCAAAACAATATTCAATTGTTAAGTTTCCTAAGATATTGTGCAAAATGTGGCAACGATGAGCCACATTTTCTCCTGCACCATATGGCATTATCGAATTTCGAATCCGACATTTTGTCTATGGGCCACAATGTCATCTAATAGTCAAATTGTCAAACCCAAATATTATAATCTTTTCCGGCAGTTAACAAATATTCAACTAATTGGAGTTTCCTCCCCTACTCAATTCAGAAAATGAAAAAGTCCTGAAAAATTGAGACTGAAAAACCAGGTACACACGAAGAAGGTGACCACACTTAAAAACCCTGGCCCCTACAGACTCGTTATTTGTAAAAGACCCCGGCCCTCTGGGCTCGTAACTTAAGTAGACCCCGGCCCTTCGGGCTCGTAAATTAAAAAGACCCCGACCCTATGGGCCTACGAAATGTTGCTGTCAAACTTACGATTTTTTTCATTGAAATTACGTCTTTTGAAGCTCTATTTTTGCTTAATTGTTTTATTCAATTTGCATTATTTTCAACAGCATTAGTGTGCACTGAGTGTATTCGTGTCTTTTTTTACTAGTTTGTATAAAAAAGAGATAGAAATAATTTTTTTCTGAACTGGTTTTAGCAAAGGATTTGTTAAAATTCACAAAATTATTAGGTTTTGGAAGAAAAATTTGAAACGTAGCAACCCTAGTTGAAAAATGTAGTAACCCTAACGCAATTTAACGTTTCAAAGTAGGCCCTGTAGTTTTTGGCAGTTAATTTAAAATGGCTGGGTTGTTTCCAAGACCTACTTGATTTGATAAATTATTTGCTTACAGTTATCTGTATTACCGACATAGAATTCTACTTTGATGATGTCAGGTTGCCTAGCAACAGTGATCATCGCCTGTAGTATACGCGATAAATGGGTCGCGGGTGATGTCATGAAAATAGAATTCTACAAGTAGTAATCTTATCGCTTGTCATAAATGATATTTAACATTTTGCCCAACAGTATTGCCGATGTTTATATAATTACGGTTATGGAAAATTTGAAATTTGCAAGGCCTACTTTTTTTTGTATAAATTCGAGCCTCAATGATTGACACAATATTTGTTATAAGTTGTAGTTGGCAACACTGTTTGACAAGGGATAAAGTAGGCATCGCAAAATTTCAAAATTTAAATATGGCGCCCTGTAATACCGACATTGTAATACATACATGTTTCTAAAGCCTACTTGGTTTGATATAAGTCCGTAAGGCGAGAATTTTCCTTAAAAATCAACTTTCAAGATTTCTGGTGATTTTTTTTTTTTTAAGTCTGGTGATTTTTCATTCCAATTTCTGATGAATTTAATTTTTTTGACCTGGCAACAGTGATTCAACGTTTCATATTGAATCTGACATAACTTTATAATTTTCTTCTCTTTCTGAAGTTGCAGTGGTTGATGTATAAGAAATTCTTTTAGAAAAATGATCTGTCAAGAAGTTTTTTCAATATTGAACTTTTTTTCAAAATTTGAAGACTATTAGTTATCGTCAAGGAAGATAATTAATTATCAAATAAATGCCTCTAAGATGGAAATTTTAATTAAATACATACTTTATTAAATTGAATTTGAGTAGGAGGACGCGAACTTGAGTCTCATTTCCTAAACGGCTGGGAATTTATAATAGAATTGTCAGAGTAAAGCAGATGGTATTTATTTATTTTTTTCATTTTGAAAACATAACGAATGTTATCCATTTTATTTTTCCTTCTTTCTGCCAAAAACTCTAATACGAATGTGAAACAATTTAAAGCCAACCAATAAATAAAGATTTCGAGGATTTACTTTATCCATTCAAGGCTTAAGTATTGTTGCAATTTATGCTACGTTATCTTTAGTTTATACCAGTTTTGAACCTGGTAAAATAGAAGCTATAGGTGGTTTGTATTTCAAGTAATCTTAGCGATAACATTGGACCCATATTTTTAAAGAGATTATTTTGTCCCCAAATTTACAGTGAAGATATGTGAATCAACAGATGTATATAGGCGAACATTGTAATTTGGGACAAAAAGATTAATCAGTGTCAAATTTGCACGGAATTAGGGTTGCATCAAAAATTCGCGCGGGAATTAAAATTCCTCCTCGCAGTAACAAATATGTCGGATCGATGTTCTGCATTTTATACAATAATACAACAGCCGTGCAAATACATGCCATTATGATATTAGTTTTCATGCGGAATAAATCCAAATCTGCATTAAATCGACATCAAAAGTGCTTTTTATCAATTTGAAACATGCCCAAGATAGGGAATATTCTATAAAAACAAAGTTCTATAACTGAATATCGGCGCTTGCATTCAAGGTACTTGTGAGACAAAATTGCTTCTTCAAAACCTAAAGTTTTACATATTTGCCCTAGTTCTGAGAAATGGAATTATATTACATTGAATTCTTCTACTTGGAACGAGGATGTGAAAAATCGTGAATATTTTGCTGTGGAAAATAAAAAAATATGAAATTTGCATTGAGGATTTTATTTGTTAGCAGGCAAACAAAACATTGACAAAAAAAAAATACTGGAAAAAAAATATGGATGTCAATTCTTATAGAATACTTCTTATAAAAGAAGTTTTATTTTTCTGAATTTCTGATTTCAAATATTTGTACGTCACTCGCAATTGTATGTTTCCAACCCAACAAGACTTTGATAACGGTTCTCGACGACATACGCTAATTAATTGAAGTTCTATATACTAAATTTGGGTATGACAAGGGCACGTCTCCAACTTTGTCTTTATTGTTGAAGTTTTGATATATCGTGACGAGTTGTTTTGTATGCAAACAATAAATTTTAATCTTACCTTCTTGCCAGTCTATGGCAGAGTTGAAATAGGCTCCGATTGAATGCGCATCGATACCAGCCAAAAGTAGCAAATGGACGCCAATACATAAATCTGCCACAGCCAGATTGCACATAAGGAATTTCGATACTGTTAACCTGAAATAGAAAAGATTCAGTTTATTTTTGTTTTTTAACATAACCGAAAAGAATATGATACGCATCTCGTGTTTTTTTGATCCAGAAGACTAACTTATAAAATTTACTTTATTTATACTGTGAAATTAAGGAGTCAGCATCGTTTTCACGGTAATTACCTAATTCGCTGACAAAGCTTTCTGAAATTTAGTGGCATGATGAGAGGTTGTGTAACTTGAGAGGAACATGATGGCTAAATGAGGTCGCATATTTGGATACAACAACTCGTTTTAGTCAAAAGTTGGTACTTTGCATCATGCAGCAACTTTTCAATCTTGAGAGACCTCTCCTTGCCCGAGCAACCTTTTTTTGTTTCAGGACGTCACTTTCAATGAAGTTAGAGAAATAATTTTCAGCCTCAAAAGTAAAAATACTACTGTTGTGTACGGTTTGAGCACCAGACGGCTGAAGTCTTGTCATGAATGTACCTAATTGTTATTCCTTTAACCAAGCTGATGAACAGTGGCTTTCGTGAGAGTATTGTTCCAAACATGCAATAATTACACCTATACACAAAAAAGGGAAATCAACATCTACCTGAAAATTACAGGCCTATTTCTGTATTGCCTGCATTGTCAAAAATTTTTGGGGATCGTGAATATGAAATAAAAAATAATTGACAAAATTTACACATACTTTGGGACCGCGAAACCACAACCCTAATTATATTCGGACCACAGCCTTAGTAGAAGTTAATTTAATAAACCCAAGAATGTTTCATTGCAAAGAGATTCAAGATGGCGGATATTGATGATGTGAATTCAGGTGGTCCCGTTTCAAACGCGGAAATATTGTGCGGTTCCTGTAAAAGATCAGTGAAAACTGAGCTCAAGTGTGAAAAGTGTCTACGACAATTCCACCCGGCTTGTTTAGTACGCCTTAAAGGGGCGAAAACCCTGGGAATTGGCCAAATTTTGTGTCCGACATGCGCGCCAAAGATTGATGAGGACGTCATGATCAGTGTTCTAACGAGAGAAATCGAAACCTTAAACAAGTTAGTTTTGACCTTAATTGATAACAATGGCCTTCTGAATGCCCGAATTAGCGATTTGGAGTTAAAAAATCGAGAACTAGTGGCTGAAATTGGGTATTTGAAGGCTAATCCAAGCATAAACAATACATCGTCTCCTCTCCCTGCCCCGCAGTTCCCAATGTTTTTACAACAGACAGAGACAGAGAAGACAGCAAAATCTGCAACAGCTGATTTTGGACATGAAGTGTCGACCGTTGTGGCGACTTGGCCGAAAAACAAAGATGGAAAAGAAGACCGTGGAAGCATAACCTCAAAAGTTCGTCCAATGTAAACATAAATTCTCAGGCTAAAAATAAAAATAAAAATAATCTTATAAGCAATAGCCAAGTTCAAAAAGCGATTAATGAGGCAGTGATTCAAACTATTTTGCCAAAATACTCGGAAGCACGTCCACAAGGTAAGGGTGAGGGGGCTCAAAAGTCTCCTAAAAACTCCGACGTAAATACAAATACAAATACAACAGGAACTTCTCCTAATGTCAATAGCATATTTAGAGGGGTGCCAGGTAAAAAGTGGCTCTTCTTGGGGCGTGTAAATAATGAGGCAACAACGCAAGTTATATTTGATCACATCAAAAGTGCACTGAATCTAGCGAATGACAGGGATCTTGTGGTAGAGGAGCTGCCAACCAAGGCTGACTCCAAATGTTTTAAGGTTGGAATTTGTGAGATTATGTATGAAACTCTTAATGACAGCAATTTTTGGCCAACGAATGTCATTTTCAGACCATTTACCCAGCGTAATAGGCCAAAAAGGAGAGCACCACAAACCACAGTAGGGGGTCAAAATTTTCAACAGCCGCAGATCGTGGTAGCAGTGCCATAACCTTTTATTATCAGAATGTGAGGGGTCTAAAATCAAATCTCCAGGCCCTGATGTGCAATACATTGTCAGAGAGCTACGATGTGATCTTGCTAACGGAAACTTTTCTGGATGATAGCATTTTATCCAGTGAACTCGGCCTTGATGGATACCTTATATACAGATGTGATAGATCAGTCAGAACCAGTTCTTGCTTGTCTCAGGGTGGGGTGCTTATTGCAGTTAGGAATACGCTCTCCTGTCGCGCTCTAAATACTCCTCTCGATAATGTGGAATGTGTCTTTGTTCTGGTTTCTGTTGGCAGTCATAGGATCCTGATAGGGTATGCATATATACCAGGTGTCTCAGATGTTGATGTATATGAGAGTTTTAGTCTCTCTGTTCTGCATCTTGTTGATCAAACTGATTTTACGGACATTTTTTTGTGGGGCGATTTCAACTTGCCAAAACTGACATGGATCAATGGTAAGGATGGAACATTCCCGGTCGGAGTGGTGACAAATGAGGCAACTGTATTGTCTGATTGTGCTGCATATTTGGGTTTGTACCAAAACAACCAAGTTCCCAATAAATATGGAAATTTTTTGGATCTATTGTTTAGCAACCATGTGAATGTCAATGTCTCATTGTCCGACAACTCTTTGTTGAAGTTGGATGCTCCACACCCAGCTTTTGAGTGTAATTTCATTTTAGACTGCGTACCAAAGAATATGTTATGTGACTATTTTTATTACAATTTTAAATTTGCAAATTTTGTCGACATGAATATCTTCCTATCCAGGTGTGATTGGAGTTTTATTGACAGGTGTTCTGATGTGGATGTGGCAGTGTCACATTTTTATGATACTCTGTATTACGCAATTGAGATGTACACACCAACCTCTCGATACAAATCACCAAAGTTTCCTGGATGGATGAATGATGAGCTGAAAAAATTGATCATCACAAAGAAAAAGGCTCATAAAAAATTTAAAATCACAAATTCAATTGATGATTACACTGTTTTTTTCTTCATATAAGAATTACATAAAAGAACTAGAAGGGCAGTTGTGTGACAAAAAATCATTTTGGAGCTCCGTGAATTCAAGAAAAGGGAACACAGAGTATCCACAGTGTATGAACTTCAATAAACAAGAAAGCAGTGATCCTCAGGAAATCTCGGAGATGTTTGGCACCCATTTTTCATCGGTGTACTCGGAGTATGTAGAATTTGATTCAGATGGAGATGGAATGTTTTACTGTGATAAATCGGTCTCACTTGGTGACCTCAAACTCTCTGTGATGGACGTTTTTGATAAGATTGATGATTTTAAACTTAGTTTAGGCCCTGGGCCCGATGGGGTGCCTATTGTTCTGTTGAAGAATTGTAAGTTTGTCTTGTCCGAACTGTTATGTAAACTTTTCAATCTGTCTTTGAGTAGCGGAAAATATCCCTCATGTTGGAAATTGTCATATGTCACCCCGATCTTTAAGCAGGGGAATAGGTCAGACATAAAAAACTACCGTGCTATTTCAAAAGCTTCATTAATTTCTAAAATCTTCGAAGCCATGGTTGCCGAAAAAATAACTCCACTTTTCAAACATATCATTATAAACGAGCAGCATGGTTTTATAAAAGGAAGGTCCACTGTATCCAATCTTTTATGCTATGAGCGATGTCTGTTGGAAGCCTGCGAGAATGGGGGTCAAGTTGATTCTGTTTACACTGATTTCTCGAAGGCTTTTGACAGTGTAGATCATGGCATATTGGTGAGGAAACTCAAATCCGTTGGGATCTTTGGAGCAATGCTCAGTTGGTTTGAGAGTAATCTTAAGGGACAAAGGCAGGCAGTAAAAATAAAAAACTATATATCCTCCGAATTTGCTGTTACATCGGGTGTTCCACAAGGTGGGCACCTGTCAACATTTCTATTTAACTGCTTCATTAATGATGTGAGGGGTGTTTTTCGTGTTTGCCAGTTTCTGGCATTTGCCGACGATTTGAAATTATTTATGATAATCAAATCACTTAACGATTGTAAGCTGTTGCAGGAGGATTTGAGTAGATTCGCTGAGTGGTGCAAGGCAAATAATTTGTCATTAAATACAAACAAATGTTCAATTGTTACTTTTAGTAGATCAAAGACTCCTATTGTATTTAATTATGGTGTCAACTCAGTAGGTCTTGAAAGGCAGGTTTTAGTAAAGGATCTCGGTGTATGGCTTGATTCAGAGTTATCTTTTATTAATCACATTGACATAATTACCAATAAAGCCATGCGGCTCCTGGGATTTGTCTTTCGAACTCTGCGTGGGTTTGAGAATATATATACTTTTAGAGAGATTTATTGTGCATTGGTTCGCTCTGTTTTGGAGTTTGCAACATGTGTATGGCATCCTCACTATAATGTGCATGTCAAAAAGCTTGAGCGGGTTCAACATAAGTTTCTTAGTAGAATTGCATTTAAATTAAACGTCCCGCATGATCAAATAAATTATAATGACATTATGAGAGTACTTGGTATTGCATCACTTGAGAATAGGAGAAAGTATTTTGATATTATAACCTTTTACAAAATTATTAATAGTATTATAGATGCACCTGACCTACTTGCGTGTTTCGGCTGTAAACGCCAGGAATAAAGAGCTTTTTGATATTGAATTCCATAGAAGTAATTATGGGATGAATTCGCCTCTGAATAGAATGTGTAAACTAGCTAATGATGTGATAAAGAAAAATGATCTTGATATATTTTGTGATTCGTTTAGTAAATTTAGTAACAAAGTGAAGAAGAGCTTGTATCTTTAAATGTATATTTTGCCATCTTGAAATAATTTTTTGTTGACTGATCGTATTATTTTATCTCTATGTTGTGCTTCTTGCGTTATTTTTAAGGTTCTGTTTGTTAATTAAGATTGTCATATCTATTTTTTGTTTGACTGTAATTTATTTATTGTTCGACTATTTGTAGAATGCTTTTTGCGTGAATAAAATTTTGAATTTTGAATTTTGAGACAACAGCGCATTTCTAACCTCAACTGTCAAGTCCAATTATGTTCACTGAAACAGAAATTAACCAAAATTAACGCATGAAATTCCTTAAGTTGAAGTTGGCCCAACTTTTCC